GGAATGTCTGTCTTCTTTAATTGAGGAACACTAACCGAAGCGCTGCACCAACTGGTACCATTTATATCTAGTGACAGATACCTTTTGCAGCTACATGCCCAGTGAGTGGCTTTGCGTGGTACACAGGCAAGGTAAGTACTACGGAATATGTAACAGGAAAAAAGAGCAGACCCTTCCCACTCTGGAGATGGGAAAAAAGAAAATGACTGCAAACAAAATGCTTCTTCTGTAATTGGTAAGCATGCACCTGTGTATCTGTACAAAGTTGTTAGAACAAACACGTCCTTTAAGGCAAGGTTTTAAAATTTGTGCCAAGCAAAAATTCTATTTGGTCATTCCTCACAGGGAAAATGGAAAATTGGAGAGGTTTAAGATCAAAGTGACTTAGCCAAGGTCACAGAAAAAGTTCTGAACCAGAAATAGGTTTCTAAATTCCCAGAACTGTTCATTCTAGTAAGGGACTGTATTTAGCGCACTTTCTAAAATAAACTAAAACCCCTATTTAGCACACTTTCTAAAATAATCCCAAAGGCAACTGCTATGAAAATTCAGCCACTTCAGTTTAGTAACAATGGATTTAGTTAAAAGAAGTTAAATTTCCACTCACATAAAGGCCCTTCGATTCACCAGCTTCATAGCCTGAGGGCAACTGTACTGGGGGAAGGGGTGTGACACCAGCCGCAAGACACCCCCAAACAGGCACATGACGGCGTTATGTTCACTTAAAGAACAGCAAGCCGTTTTTCTTCTCAGTTTAGAACATTAGATAAAAATAATCCAGTAAAAGACCAAGCACTGGTCGGATCTACAAGATGCTTTGCATCTGTGGCAATGCTATTTAGAAGGAAAAATGCTGGGCCAGGGATATAGCTCAGAGGCACAGTGCCTGCCTGGCAAGCACAAGGTCCTGAGTTCGATTCCCAGTACCAGAAAAAAAAAGGAAAGGGGGAAAAACTCTAGCTCTCCTCCCTCAACTTGTAGTTTTACCCTTTCTCCCCAGAAACTTATTCTTCTTAACATTAGTAGAGAAGAAATTAATGTGTAATAGTACCATTTCCTCAAGATGAAATTTCAGAAACTCAACACACTTCAAATCTCTAATGGTCAATTTATATGACAAGAAATAACAGTCTATCTTAACCCAGGGACGTGGAGTTAAAAACAGTGATTTAAGCTTTATTTAAAAGCTCCTCGGGCTGGGGATTTAGCTCAGCAGCACAGCGCCTGCCTGGCAAGCGTGAGGTCGTGAGTTCGATTCCCGGTACCAGAAAAAAAAAAAAACTAAAAGCTCCTCTCTTCCTTGACAATCTAAACTACATGTAAAAAGAAAATGTAGTCATCCTACTTCACTTGAAAATGAAATGCTAGAAACGAACCTTATTTGTATGCCCACATATGACCTCTCCAGAGACTCAACTTCCTTATCAATAAAATACTGATTTATTTTCAATAAGACATTGATTAATTTCAAATCCTAATTTATTTTCAATAAAATATTGACTTCCAGGTGGGCTAGCACTCACCTACAAAGATTAAACACTGGAATGCATTCAGGTGCTGGGTAGCGGCTCACACGTAATGAACCATCAAGCAACTGATGACCTCACCACCTTAAGACCATAGGAGGACGCATCCTAGC